TTGGCACTGTATCGGCGGGTATCGGTTAATACACAATTACCAATTATAGCTACTACTTCAGCCTTAAAGAGATTTTTCACTTAATTTGACGCTTTTTATAGTTATAAATTATTTTTTCAATAATTAAATATTTTCAGGCAAGCAAAAACAATTTCAAGGAAAAGGATATTTCTGTATGTTAAACAAGCACATCACGATCAAATCAACCTATAAACCGCCCTTGTGGCCGAATAGATAAGACATCAGTCTCTTTACACCGAGTATTGTATTTGCGAGGCCTGATGGTGTGCCATTTGCTATTTTCCTTCTGTGGATAAAACTGTCAAAATTACCCTTGTAAAGTCATTGGGGTTTTTTTGAAGCAGGAGACGTGAAAAGTGTGAAGTGCCCTCGGACCTAAACCCTGGACCTGTTGAATATGCGTTGAGTATGCTTCCAGTTAGACCGCGAAGGCATGCGGAAAGAAGAAAGAAATTACTTTATATACCCCCATTTTTAAAGGGCAACTGGGGATTAGGGAACCTAATCGTCAAATCCTGGTGGTGAATTATTATCGTCCACTACCTTCTAGCTCGGAGCCCACTTGTAGAGTCATTAGTATTTTTTGAAGCAAGATCCTGAAAACTGTGCTATGCCCTCGGCGGGACTCGAATCCAGGACCTTTTGAATACGCTTCGAGAATGCTTAACACGAAGGCATTCGAAAAGGAGGGAGAAAATGCCTTATATCATTACTGAACCTTTTGGCCAATTGGCCCAATCATATTATTCTTTCAGCACTTTGACTACATCTTTCAACAGTAATGGAAGAAAGGCAAACTAACTAAACTTAAAAGGACCTGTAAGGTCAAGAATTTTGCGAATTGAGCTGCAAAATTTGAAATAATATTAAAAAGTAAATTCTTCTAGCTATTGCCTATGAGTTAAAGTGATGAGATTCTTCGTTCCTTCTAAAGTCACTCCTCCTACAAACAACTGGACTTCGTCAGACAGACTTTCGATTCAGAAATGATGCGCTGTTTTGCTTAACATCGCACAATTTTACGGTTCCTGTTTATTATGAGCAATGCAGTTACTAACTTTCGACATTTACCTGCGTTTTTACGCCGGGTTAAAGCTATTTTGCCAGGGAATATAGTTTGCGATACTCTTATTAACTAACGTTTCAGTCCTCAAAGTTAAAATAACTTAAATCTCATTATTAAGTAAATGCAGAGCTGGTTAATGACACTAGATAAAGCTGACAAAAGCACATGGGGGAAAGAGAACCAGGTTTCAAGTTCCAGACAAATTCCTCTACAGATAAATTCCTGCCGTTTTCTATTATCATCTGGGAGGAATAGCGGTTCGCAAAAGCTGACAGCTAGCCTGAAACCAACGATGTGAATGTGACTCCTATGTAAGGCTTGACAATATGTGGTCTTTCTTTCAGCTTTTATAAGTAATATCGGTCGCCGTCTGCTGTGGTGCGTCCTGAGCAACGTTCTTGATTATTAGACAACTAAATAACTGATACCTTCACCGTATTTTTCAATGCATGCTTAACCAGTAAATGCCCATCCGTTAGATTTTAAAGGTTATTTTTTCACCGTAAAGAATCAAGAGTTTTTTACTTAAGATTCAAGTTATAAATCTGGAAAAAATGCATAAAAGAAGAAAAATTAAAGAAATTTGAAGATATAGAGTATCTTGCTATCGAATTCTCAAAACATCTAAAAAGCACATAGAATAAATTAAAAGTATTTTCCGTTGGTAAATACAGGGTTGGACAAAAATATGGAAACACCTTTAAAAAAACATGTTTCTTTGCTTAATATGGTGTAGGAAACCCGTTGGCATACAAAACAGCTTGCAGTCTTCTCGGAATGGATAAATACAGTTCTTGTATGTTTGCCAAGGGAATATTATACCATTCTTCCTGCAAAACGGTGGCAAGTTCAGATAACGATGTTGGCGGTGGATAACGAGAACGCACTTTCCGTTCCAATGTAGACCACAAAGGTTCGATAATATTCAGGTCTGGTGACTGTGGTGGCCAGGGGAGATGGGACAACTCATCCTCGTGCTCAGAAAACCAGTCCTGGACAATGTGAGCTGTGTGAACAGGGGCTTTGTCTTCTTGGAAGACACCATCACCATCGGGGAACAAAGTTTGTACCATGGGATGAACTTGATCGGCCAAATTGTTCACATAAGTCTTGGCAGTCATGTGCCCTGACACAGTTATCATGGGGCTAGCAGAGAACCACGATATGGCTGCCCAAACCATAACAGAACCCCCGCCATGTTTCACTCTTGGCAACAAGCAGTCTGTATTATAGGCTTGAGATGGCGTTCTCCAGACGTAAACTCGGCCAGAAGTGGGAAACAATGTGAAAGAAGACTCGTCAGACCATATTACTCGCTTCCACTGCTCTATAGTCCAGGCTTTATGACTTAAACACCACCTTTTCCTGTTACGGGCATTAGCATCACTGATGAGTGGCTTCTCAATTGCAGCACGGCCAGCAATTCCCTGTTTATGAAGCTCCCTTCTAATTGTTTTGGTACTCACAGGGTTCGGTAACACAACATTCATTTCAGCAGTAACTTTTGCAGCTGTGGTCTTCTTATTTTTCGTCACAATTGCCCTTAATGATCGTCTGTCACGATCACTCAGGACACACTTTCGTCCGCGCTGTGATTTAGCAGATGATGTTTTTCCGCTTTTCAAATATGCGGAATAAATCTTCGATACAGTACCTCTTGAAACACTAAAACACCTCGGCTACCTTGCTTACGGAAGCACCTACCATACGTGCTCCAACAATTTGCCCACGTTCGAAGTCTGTTAACTCTGACATAATGCAATGACAACCTCACATAACAGTACTCCGACAACAACTGAACTGTTTAGCACATTTACGAAGTTGTATAGGTGGCGTCAGTAGTCAAAAACGCCAGCGATACCTACATATTTCATTAAAATCAATCTTTCTTTTTAAACATGCATTTCACAAGGTGTTTCCATATTTTTGTCCATCCACTGTATGTAAGCCGTTAAGAAGTGTTTACAATTACGTTCGATAAGCAGCAGTTCCAGGTTTTAATGTTATATGTTACCATTCGTTAATTTTTAAACTTTAAAGAGAAAAAAGTTCAGTTTCAATATTCCTTTAAACCGTATTTTCATCTGTGATAAAATTAGCACTCTCTCAAAGAAAAATAATAAACAAAATAAATAATCTTAAAAATGCTCTCTTCTTGGGATATTTCTATGTTCTACAATTTACATATTTTCAAAATACATCAAATGAAAATATTCATCATTTTAGAAAAATGGGATTTCACAGTTGCATTAAATTACTCAGTTAAGCTGCTACATTAGACTTATTAATAAGTAAAATTGATTGTATACTGTATTATTTACTGACAGGCACAATGATGATTGCTTCAATAAATCACAATCTTTCTGTTTTCCCATGTATTTACTGTTGTGTAAAATTAGTAAAAATAAAAAAAGAAAATCCTTAGATTGCATAGTTTAAAAAAAAAGAAAAGAAAAAGCCTTTATGCATTTGACTTCGAGAGGAGTCCCTCCCTTTCATGAAGAACAGGGGATCTATGACACTTGTCTTCAAATTCCAGAGAGTTTTATTTTAAATCCAATATAAGATTATTTTTGTTCTGAAAATTGAACATTTTATATTAACATGTTTCTGTTCCATATTTTCAGCATTAACAAAGAAGATTTTCAACCTGGAATATGGAATTGGTTTGAAAACATCTGGCTGATTCCAAACGCGCTAAAAGAAAGATAGTAGCTGCTGAATCCTTATCGATAACTCACAGGAAATAAAAATAAACACAAAGTTTTCGATGCGATAAAATTTCGAACGTTTTCGAGTACTACTGTATTTTCTCTAGCTGCACTGAAAATGCTTTTAGCTCATTTCACCGAAACTGTAATCTATTCTTTACAGTAAGTTATAAATCAAATTATTTACCTTAGTGTCTGCTTATTTATATATGTTCATCTAAAAGCAGACTGCTGTCATACCGAATTTGAGTTCATAACACAAACAGTTATCATTTACAAATGCCTAATTTTGATTCATTTCGGTAAATCAACTTCGTAAGATATATTTAATTTGACCATTTTATCACCGTGTCTCAGTTATATTATGCATCTTAGCTGTTATCAGTGCAATGATTGTCAAATCAAATATTTATATCGAGGGACTGTAACAGCAGTACTATCTTCCTAAAATAAAATCAGAATCGGATATTTCTTGCATTTTTCAAAGATTAAGATAGTTTCATTTTTAATTAGCTTTTTACATTACTCTTTCAATTAGTACGTACTGATAGTACCGATATAAATATTTTTTCTTAAAAGTTTGAACAATAACAGCAAATGAAAATGTGTGAAAGCATTGATTAAAATGAAGATATTTATACCCTAAGAAATAAATAATACGAGAAAGATACATGCATTTATCCATTTATTATTTCAAATTCTTGTTCCGAGAATCGACTATATGAGTTTTTCGGAAAAAGCGAACTGAAATTCTGGGAAGTTGCAAAATAATATTTCATGGCAAAATACCTTTATTATTTCTTTCATAAAATATAGCAATTTAGATTTTATTTTTTTAACCATTATGAATTTCTAGACCATTAATTTTCTATACATTGTTTTACAGAAACATATAATATTCAGGTTGAAAGACCTTCTTTTCGGAAAAAGCAAACTGAAATTCTGGGAAGTTGCAAAATAATATTTCATGGCAAAATACCTTTATTATTTCTTTCATAAAATATAGCAATTTAGAGCTTATTTTTTTAACCATTATGAATTTCTAGACCATTAATTTTCTATACATTGTTTTACAGAAACATATAATATTCAGGTTGAAAGACCTTCTTTGTAAACATACATTACTAGCATTCTTGATTAGTGTAGAGGTTGCATCTTATTTTATGCTTATTAAAAGGATTTATATTTAAAAGTGCACTTACTGGATCCCACGTGCCCGTTGTACTTCTTGTTTGTCTCGTGTCCTCACCAATTTGATCAACGTCTACCGCAATTTGGTCGATATTGGAGATAATTTCTATACTTTTACCATTTTGCGTGGAGATCTTGTAGTCATCTACAATTTTTTTGTTGAAATGCTTTTTCTTCTGAGGTTTTTTGTGGTATTCAACGTTCTGAAACATATTCGCTCGTTCGTTGTAAGTAGGAGATTCACTGCTGGAGTCTTGCAAAGGTAGAGAACCTTTTGCACTGTCCGTATCATCCTCTAAATCACATTCTTCAGTAGTACTACTGCTACTTCTCTGGTCATCTGTTAATCCAGAGTCACATTCCCCATGATTATTGCACCGCGAGTCGTCACTGCTTTGATTGGAAACTTGGAAACTACCTACAAAGAATAATAAAAAAAAAGAGTCAGCGTCACTCTAACGTGTTATCAACGTTTCTTTTAAAAAGAAACTAAGAAAAAAGTGTATGATAGAGAACTAAGTCTAAAAGATAAGATTTGAGAGACAGAAAAGTTTCTTAATATCTCTTCGCACACTGCAGTGATAAAAATCATTAAAGCAGGATAGTAAATTGAAAAATCTTATTTTATACCAAATGCACAGAATGATAGTACGGAATAAATATTGTCTCTCAAATCTTCTGTCAACTATAAATACTGAAAAGGTTAAATGTATACCATTTCTACGAATTAAACTCACTTTGCTATGAGTCTAATGTATAAGACACTTTTTAATTTTCAGTGGATACTTACAACCAATTCTGCACTGTACCATATAAAATGACATACATCAACTAAAAATGTGTTTTTGAACGAGAAATGGTTGTACAACTATTCAACTGTGATAGATATCTTTTTTATTCTCTTATCAGACAGATATATTTCTTAACGAAAACTCTAAAATCTGCAACTAATGATAATAAGGCCAGTAAAATAAAAGTTTATTATAAGATGTCAAAACTGCAGCGAGATAGTACCCATAGCAAGCCATTTCAATATTACACAAAAAGAAATCACAGAAGATATCCCAAGACAAGTCTATTAAACCATTACTAAATAATATTCGCCATGCATTTGATTACAGCAATGGTGATCCTGGTAAAGAGTTTGAGAAAGAAGACATTATTTTTGTATTAACTCGTGTGTCCGACACTTGGCCTGCACTTGACTAGAGCAGTTTCACAACTTTACAGTAGTAACCCAACCTCTCGACATTCCGAAAGCAGATTGCTCAAAATCAAGATAAAACATTGTTATAAGTGATTTATACTTTCCATAAACAGAAAAGATCAGAAGAGATAAAACAATTTGCTCTCAACATCCAATTCTAATTTTACTTTCTTTAATTTTCATGACTTCACTTTAATTTTGAGTTTTTTTTTCATTTTAAAGAGTGTTTTCAATAAAGTTGCTGCCTTTTGTAAACATTGTAAAGTCTTTAATTTTAATTCAGTTTTGAAGATGTCATTCCTAACAAATTTATATATAAAAGCATGTACGTAACGTATATTTTCAATTGCACAGATTCAGGCTCAAGTTCAGAGAACATTCAATGTTTATCATCGGTGATCTGGATATCGGCTTTCTGCACTAACTCACTGGAATGCGTTATTTTAGTAGTCTTTTCAGTTGCACAAGCAAAACGTTTAAGAAAATAAACAGCGAAATAATTCGCTCAACAAAATCAATCATTAATAGTACCTTCCAAATACATTAGACAAGAAGTTTTTTAATGTGAAAGTATTACTTAATCTTTCAACGAATATGACATTGCAACGCATTGCAATTCTGAGTTTTTTTAATCTCTGTATATGGGCTATACACTAATGGGAAAGGGAAAAAGTATAATTTAAAACTTTATTTTTCATAAAACTGCTTGAAAATTTGCTCAGTGGAAGTAATAAAAGTAATCTGTAAAAAGCTTACGGGAGAGAATATGTTTCATCCGTCGTTCGAGTTTGCTTATTTTCTAAGATGTTCTTCTTGATGGCATTCTTTCCTCTAGGAACATAGTTGTCGAAAGCTTTACTATAATTAATTGACCAAACATCTTATGCCCGTAGTCCTTATTCACTGTTTTCTTGTCGGTATAATACAATTTCGATTGAATCTCATATATTTTTCTGCATTCTTTTCAATTAACGGTTAAAATATTACGGTCGAAAACATCGCGACTAAAACAATGCAACAGGAAAACATAGCAGTAGAAAAACCCGAAGAGAAAACATAGCTGTTTTACAGTATTTGCTATAAAACATTAATAACAGAAGTTAAACCACCTTCGTGCGAAGCGTTGTGGTAAAAAAATGAACACACGTTCCAGAATATTATATGGCAATAGCATTGCAAATACTCGTTTTCAGATTTTTAAAGTTTCAAATGTATATTCTTTGTTTGAGTATGCAATCGTTTGTGAATGAGAAGAGAAATGAGGAATAATTTTACCCATATTACTTTAGAGGTTTTTGAAATAACATAAATTTTAACTGAAAAATCAAGAAGGAGCTTAAGAATTTAAATTATAAAAATGAGTATAAATTATTTTTTCCCTAATGGCAGATTGTGAACAGTTACAGCGTAACACAGTCCATTAATCTATACAAGGCCAGATGTGGTGGTCTCTTTATTTATGGAGGCACCTAATAGGCTGACCACCATGGCTTCCTATGAAGGGACGGACAGTTACAACCATGCCTTCTCCGGGATTCGAATCCAGGCCCTTCGGTATCGCAGTCAGGCTTTCCAAATCACTATACCGTCTGGGCAGCCATGAGTATAAATTATAAGTAGCAGCATCTAATCGAATTTTTAAACAAATGTATTTAGGTATTAATAGTCACTAATTACTAATTAATTCCTTTTTCAGAATTGATTTTATAGTTTTTCACAGGGGGGGGGAACTACAAACCTTTAAAAAACCTATAAACTCTTTACCTATAAAAAGTATAATATTTTGCTTCGAAAGTAACGGTTATATTTTGGAAAGTGGTTACACTAGTTAAAAAGAAGTCCTTAAGAAAAAATAATAATAAAATATTTAACAGTTAAAACATTTTAAATGATCTATAACGAATTAACTTTTATTTTATCTCCTCTCTAATGGTACATCCAACAACTAAGACATCGTGTTCATAAACAGTTGCTTGATATCAAGCAAGCTAATTTGTGAGTATTCCGTAACTTAGAAATAAATTACTTCTAAAAAATTCTTGAACTTGGAGATATATTTTGATAATTTTAAAAGCTTCCTGATATAAACTTTGCAGCAGATGCAGAGCAGTGATAGCTAACTGGTGTGTCATTTTTCTTATCTGTATTTTAGAATTCGTGATGTTGCATAGCTTAAAACGGTCACTGTATTTCTACATAAGGAAAACTTTAATGCAAAAGCTATTTATTACTGTTTATTAGATATTATGACTGTTTATTAGCTTTTTAAGTATGCATGACAGGATATGTATCTCGTACAGATGACCTTTATCTCTAATAGAATTTGCATTGCAAAATTCCAGTTCACTGAGAAAAGGTAATGAATGTGTTTTTTGTTTCCTCCTTCTCTTCAAAATAAGAAATTATGCTTTAAAATAAGAAATGATGCTTCCAATACGAAGTGTGAAGAATGCAAATGTGCTTCTTTTCCTTTAGACATATTTCAATAGCTTTTATTGAAAAATGAGAAATGATTAATTCTGTTTGAATTATTGAATTTTCATATAATATGGCTCCTGATATTCAGTTAATTTTATCCTTTGATGAAATGCTAAACTTCTTTTGTCTAAGTATTTAAAAACGTTATTGCTGACAGCTATCAGTCTTCTTTAATTATAATATTTCAAAAATGTATCTTGCTTGAACATCTGCAGCTAGGCAATATTTAAGCCAAATATTGAGTTTGCCACAGCTTAATCACTGAATAAGAGAAACATTACAGTTTAATGAGAAATTAATTTAGCGTTCATAAATCTATGTAGACTTGACCACACCCGAAGAATTACCGAAGAGTCTCAGGAAGAGCAAAAGTCTCAAAATAAAGCTAAAAATTCGTTAGTGTAAAAAAGCGATGTTTTGAAAAGCTAAAATTCCTATTATTTTACTTACTTATTTATTTTTCCGTTGTGTGATTAAAATTATAATTTCATACTATATAACGCAAGCTATAGGCTTATAACTACAAAATTTTAAAATTAGTATAAGAGTACTTAACATTTTTAGTTTGAATTAAACACGTATTAAGTGAAAGATAAATTTTAATTGCAACTCATTTTTATCGATTATTTTGCAAACCAGTTAGTAATTTAAGAAAATGATTACCTTTTTGCTTTAACTCCTAATTTATTCGAAAATAACCGCATATAATGCAAATGGTTTAAACTTTACCATAAAGAGGAGACGCTAAATGTATTTTGACAATGCCTTCACCTTTCTCTTAAAAGTTTCTTCTACGAAAAAAATATATCTCCTTTTTATATATGAACCGTATCGATACATCATTGAAGTTTATATACGGTAATGTAGTTATAAAATTGAGCTCAAGAAAGCAGCTAAACAGCACATCACAGCAATGTTTGAAAGGCAGAAGCAATTTGTTTCTAATTCATAATTAATTTATACTATTGAATAATGTATGTTGAAGAGACAGAACCTAAGAGTTTCTATTCTTATCAGCAATTCGGTTTAAATTATTAATCACAAGTAACCAGAAATAATATAAATCTGCTTGGATATAAGAAGAAAGTTAGGTTTTACACTTTATAGTTAATTAATTACAGTATAGTTCGTAAATAAACAATAAAACAAATTCTTCTACGGAAATCATGAAGCTAATTATGAAAATAAATATTTTAGTAATCAAATTGTTCACCTTTCTGATAATTATTTTAATTATCAAAACAGAAGGAAGAGAAAAGAAGGTAATTATTTTAACAGTTTAGCTTAAAAATGAAAGGAAGGTATTTGGTTTACTAATGAATTTCTGTCGCATTTCTGCTTCATTATTAATTTGAATTATTAAAATAATTGAGCTTTTGGAATTGCATGAAAACTACTTCATAACTACCATTATAATTTAAACTTTACATAAATAAAACGCGCGTTATCTTTTATCCCAAAATAAGTAAAAATAAAAATATAAATATAAATAAAATAAAAATAAAAATAAAGATAAGTAAAGAAGTAAAATAAAAATTTAAGCTGCTGAAAAACACAAATAGCATATATGTTTCGGTGCATAATGCATCCCTCTGTGCCACTTCCTTTAAGATTTATTACATGACTTTTAATAATTAAATAAAGCACGTTTTCGGGAAGTGTGGAAAATTAAAAAATCATTAAAACGTAAAATATCTTCAAATAAATCTTTACCTTTAATCATTTCGGGAATG